TCATTGTTAATCTGAAATTCATACTGACCTGGGTATCCTCTATTTTTATTTGTTAACCCTGGCAATTCTAGGTGGCAAGTCCCTGAAGGAATTCAAAGTGGAGACTTAGCATTTTAGCTAAGATTTAATAAATACATTTATTTATAAAATTAAAAGTTCAGATGATATAAATAAGTTTAGAGGATTCAGAGGCATATAAATAAGTTCCAGGAGCACGTAGGTAAATTCATGGGACTGAATCTCCACCTAACAGGTGCAGCAGCTGGTGCAGGTGGGAAACTCCCCAGATCTCTGGGTGGCCTGCAGGAACTTGGAGCTGTCTGCACTTCTTATGTTGCCTTTTCATGGTTCTCTCAGGCCTTGCATGCCCAGGATCTCCTTGGACATTCCCGCATGGAATGTGTTTGGGATGATGGTCACCCCACAGTCGTTATGCAGATGTAGAAACAGGTGGCATGATACAACCAAGGTTACTTGGAAGCATCAGAGTCCATGCTTGCAACTCAGGTCTGTTGCAAAGGTTCTCTGTTCTTCAAGGAGTCCGGCATGCAGGTGTCCTGTCTACATGACTGGGTGCCTGTAGGCAGACCTGGGTGCCAAGGGCAGGAAGGAGACCTCCAGCCAGCTGCTGGCCTTGGTGCCGATCATGTCTTCGCTGGAGCCGGGCTTGAAGATGACAGACCCTCCTGGCCTCCTGGGCGGAGAAGAAGGAGGCAGCAATGGCATGCCTCAGGCGCCGGGCGTAGGTTTCCAGGAGAACAGTGGAGCAGGCCAGGAGCTGCAGGGCTCCAGCAGCCAGCGCTGAGGCAGTGCGGGGACCCTGGGCCGGCAACAGTGGGCAGTCTCGGGAGGTGAGGCGGAGCTCCCATGAGTAGGTCCTGTGCTCGGACAGGAAGGAGCTCTCAGGGGGTGGGTAGTTGAAGAGGAAATGGATGAAGCCCAGGACGGTGTACGCTGCCTTCCAAAAGGAGCAAAAGCCCATCAGTAGAGACCATTTGCTGCTGCCTTTTCCTCCCACCTGTGGAGACTCAAAGGGGTGGACAACACCTAGTTCCCTGCCCTTATATGCAAAGTGGGTACAAAAGTGACCAACTGCTTCCTGGAGCTTGGGGAGGACCACATGTGACCCAGGCTGAAAGGAACTCTTTTACCAAGCAAGCGACACACAAGTTGTTATTGTCTTTGAGCAGACCATCTTAAAGAAAACATTGACATTTGTGTCTGTTTGTTTTCAGCACTGAGGACTGAACCTAGATCCTTCACACTGAATTAGATCTCCAGTTCTCTTTATATTTTTAAATTTTGAGATGGGCTCTCCCCCAGGTTGCTAAGTTGCCCAGGTGGGGCTCAAATTTTCAGTCCTCCCGCCTCGGCCTCCCAGAGTGTCGAGGTTACAGGCGTGGTGTGCCACTGCACTCTGCCGACATTCACTCTTAGTGAGCCCTTACGACCCCTCAGGAGATGCTGGCACATCAGATACGCACACTTCTGCGGAGATGACCCTCACTACAAGGATGAGAGCCCAAAGCTGGAGATGGGTTCTGCGTGGCCTGCTCAGGGGCCAGTCCCAGCCAAGGTGGGTCCCAAATCCTGCTCCGAAGCATTAGACCCTACAAACTCCAGGGTACATCAGAGCCAGGAAGAGAGGTGTCTAGAGTGACAGGGAGAGCCGAAGTGAACCAACAGGTATAGTAAACTAAACCTATGTTAAGTAATAGCAAATGAACTATTTTATACACATACAATTAAAATGCTAAGTGCTAAGACAGCATAGTGTCAAGGTGTAACTGGCAGCATTTTCTTCTTAATGCTACACAAAATAATCATGTGATTTTGGATTAATGGGACCTTAGTTTTAATGGTTTGGCTGTGTGTGTGTGTGTGTGTGTGTGTGTGTGTGTGTGTGTGTGTGATACTGGAGATTGAATTCAGGGCCTTTGCCCTGAGCTACATCCCCAACCCTTTCTGTATTTTAAGACAGAGTCCTGCTATGTTGCTAATGGCCTGGGCTGGGTTTGAGCTTTTGGTCTTCTTGCCTCAGCCTGCCAGAGTGCTGGGTTATAGGCATGCACAGCCACGTCTGGTGAAAGGCGCCTTTGATTTTCCCTAAGGTTTTAAATGAGAGAATACAATTACATACTTAAAACATTGCCTGGCAAATATCTTTCTTGTAGCCCATGGCAAGAAATGACTTTTATGGCATTTCCTGAGCACAGATTGGTACTTAAACAAAAGCTCCACAAACCTATATTACCTACAATGCACTCTGATAATTTTTAGCTTATTTCATTAAAGGAGGGGCTGGGAGATAGCACAGTAGAATAAGGACTTCCCTGGCAAGCACAAGGTCCTGAGTTCAATCCCTGGTACCTCAATAAATAAATAAATGAATAGCAATGGCTACCTAAACTGACTAAATTTAATTTCTCAAAATTTGAAAATTAATTTTCTAGGCACTTGATGAATATAAGCTAATAATACTACTAGCTCAAGCTCTGATGTTTTGGTGCACTTTCCACAACAGAACTCTGTGTGAGCTCCCACTGCTACAAATAAAATGGCAAAAGAAAAGACAGAAACACAAGCCTTGATCTGATAATAAATATATCCAACAATAAGTACCTAGTAAATAGTTTATATATTACCATTCAGGTAGTCAATATCTGCGGCATTGCGGGGTGCACACTGCCTGCTGCAGCGAGGCAGCTGCGCCTTTGTAGAGCAGCCCTCTCTAGCTATACGCAGATGGAAGGTTGTGTTTCAATAAAACTTTATTGTTAAAACCTATAACCTAGTGTTGGATTTGCCTGGAAGGTCACAGTTGGCTGACTCCTGATACAGACTATTCCTGAGCCTTTTACCCAGTCAGAGACCCACATGTGAGTTCCGAGCAGGAGCCACTGGTTATTAAACATTCAGTGTGGCTTGGAAGTTCCTGTGTGCTTTTAGAGACATTTTTGCATGTTAAGACCCACATCGCTTAGGGTAGGGAAGGTTGCTTTAATGTGTACAAATGAGGAAAATGAGCCCAGGACATCTTGCTGCAGATGAAGAGTGACCCTGGAACCAGTCACTTTAAGGTGTCTGAGTCCTTAGCATCCTAATCTGCAATAGACAAAGCAACAGAATCCTATCCCTAGGGCTGTTGTGCAGGTCAGACAGGTTCACTGACTGATGCCTCAGCACCCCTGTCTGCAACTCGGGACAAGGACCATGTACCTGCAAGTCAAAGGCTTAACACGCCCTGTTCCTTTCTCCCAGGAAATCCCCCCATCCTCCACTTCCATCCGCCCACTGTTTTACTTACATCGTATTTGACCGTGAGTGTGATGGGCACAACAGGCAGCTTCTGAGCCCACTGCACAGCAGCCTGTGCCAGCAGGAAGGCTATGTGGTCTGTGGCCACGGTCACAGCTGTGGCCACCAGGAGCAGGACAAGCAGCCCCAGCCTCAGGAGACAGCTCAGCAGCTCCTCCTGTGACAGCTTTGGCTGGGCCGCCTGGAGCAGCCAGGCCGGTGGAGAGTCCAGCAAGTGTGTGGCCTGGGCCCGAGCCAGCTCCCCAGCTAGCCTCCGTGTCACGTAGACATTGTCAAAGCGCAGGTCTGTCAAGTAGCGATGGAGGTACCAGGCCGACTCCACCAGGAGACCAAGCATAAAGAGCCCTGTGACCACCCGCGGAATACCCAGTGCCACTGCCAGTGCCAGGGACTCTAGGCCAGAGAAATCTTCCAGGACCTGCTCAGCGATCTTGAGCACATGAAGGTGGAAAGCAGAGCCATTGCCCTGGACCTCGAATGTCAGGCCCCGGCTGCCTGCTCGGCCTATGGAGCCCAGCGCCCTGGATGCAGCATGCAGATGGTGGGTGGTGTTGAGCAGACTCTCCAGGGAGCCCTCGGTGACGCATCTCAGCACCTGTCCGGTGGCACGCATGTTGGCCAAGACATTTGGCACCACAGCAATGGCCAGGGTGGCAGTACTGTAGGACAGGAGCAGCTGGCGGCCCTGCTTTGTGCCCAAGGTGGGTACACTAAGTGCAAACAGGCAGCGGACAGGGGGCACCAGGCCCAGGCCCAGGAAGATCAGGAGGCCACAGACCGTAGACACCACGGCCGAGAGTTGCAGCGGATAAAGCTGTGAAGATATCAGCCAGTGATGAACCAGACCTGCAGCAGTGACAGCCACGGACCCACACAGGAGGAGGTGGGTCAGCAACTGGCCATAGCTGGCTGGAACAGGCTGGGAGAAGGCATCCCAGGCAGCGTGCAGTGGGACAGATGCCTTTTGGATCCCCAACTGCCAGCACCTCCACCTGCACACAAATAGAGGTTCTCTCAGGAGGTTGAGGCAGAAGGAGTCAGTCCACCCACCCTGCCCAATCAACCTGACGGCAGGCCCCACCCTATTAGTACAGAGGCAGGAACACTTTCCAAGTGGACCAGAATCACCCAGGCCTACACATGTGACATAAACTCAGCCAATCAGGGCCTTCTTCAGGGTTATTCTCACTGGAGCTGTCAGAGAAAAGCTCCATGTGTTTCCTGTGGGGGTCAATGTGGGGGCTGTCCTGAGGCTGTAATTACTGCATTGTGAGGGACGCTGGCCCAAGAGAAGGGAATAAAGCCACCAAAGCAAGAAGCTCAGGAGAGGGAAAGAGGGATGGAGAGATGAAGGGAGGGATAGAAAGAGAGAGAGTACACATAAGAGAATCAGAAAGACAGAGTTCTTTATGGACCTTGGTGTCTCCTCTGTAGTTTAGGAGAAGGAAGGGAAGCCCCATTGTCCTCTGAGGAACTTTTCCTGCCTTGTTTTCTTTATATTTATTCCCTCAACGGATATTTATTAAGCAACTAATAAGTGCTAGCAGCTGGAGAAGCAGAAATGACTAAAACAGACAGCACAGCAGCCCTTGCAGCAACGCTTCAGAGTAACTGCAGAGACACAGTCAGAAGTGGCTGGGCTGCCAGCGCTCACCAAGGGCGCCTGATTGCTTCTGTTGATGGGGCTGGCAGGAAGTCAGGTCACCCAAGACAGTGGGATGCCAGAGGAGGGGATGGGCCCTCGCAGATGAAGGGCCAAGGATCAGATGGCTGTCCGTGTGTTGGGCGGGAGACAAATTAAACCATGAGCAGTAAGCTGGAGGAATTCACAGTCCAACTAGGAGGATGTAAATGGGACGTCAGAGAGTAAGCACATTAACAAAGGACTGTCTGCTGGGCTCAGCCATGCACAGCTATAACCCCAGCTGCTCAGGGTACAAGGCAGGAGAACTGCGTGCTTGAGGTCAGCCTGGAAACTTGGTGAGAGCCTGTCTCCAAATAAAAAATAAGAAGAGCTGGAGATGGAGTGGTGGAGTACCCTGGCACTCAATCCAAGTGACACAGAAACACACACATGCACGCGCGCGCACATGCACACACACATGCAATTGAAAACAACTCTAGGCCTGGCCTGGATTGAGGAGGGCTAGGCAGACAGTCACTGAGTTTTAGTTGGAAGAGGCAGAGGCAGGGGGGCTTCTGGAGGAGGTGATATTTGGATGGAGACTACAAGGTAAGTATCAGTTCTTAAGTGGGGAATTGTCCCCACCTGAAGGCACAGCAAGTGCAAAGGTCCCAAGCTCTGAGTGGCATCACTGGGAAACAGGGTCGAGGGACTTGAACTTGGGGAGCTGTGATCCATGGGGCCAGAGGGACTGGAGTGGAGGTCACAATCCCGGGGCCGGGGGGCTGACTCTGATGTGAAAATAAGCTTTATTTTGGTGCATGATGCGGGGTGTGTGTGTGTGTGTGTGTGTGTGTGTGTGCGCGCGCGTTGCCTCCATATGGAAATAGGAAGTTTCGCATTAATATCTGGATTTCTGCCACCTCTGAGAAAGAAAGGGATATAGGCTAGAGTTCTCGCCTCTGTGGTGGATGGCTAGAGCTGAGTATCTGCTGCCCGTCTGGCAGGGGTGCGCCCCCTACAGGCTGGGCCTCCTCTCCCCTCTGTGGCCTGTGTGCATAAGGAGAGGGTGGCCTACCTTCCCGCCCGGCCCTTAAAACTGGACTGGATGCCCCTTCCTGCTATATAATTAGCACTTGGAACAGGGTAGCTGTTGAAAAGATAACTAGTGATAGAAATGATTTTAAGAACTGAAAGCCAGTCCGAGGTCCCATGTGGTGCTGGGTTCTCTGTCCTTCTAAATGACAAGGACTATCTGCCATGTCCTGAGCACTTACTCGGAGCCAAGCCTTGGGCGTGCATTTTCTCATTCACTTTGCATGACAGTTTCATAGACATTATTCCCATTTCACAGATGGAGGAACTGAGGCACAGAGAGGTGAGGACTTATTCAAAGACAGAGCTTGGGATTTGGGCTCAGACTCCTCACAATAGACTGCTAGCTTTTTGTTGCCTTTGGCCCTGTCCAAAGTTCCCAGACCTACCCCGTCCTGATGAGGTGCTCAGCAGCTCCATGGAGGGCCCTCATGGTCCTGGAATAGTAATGGGTTCAGGCAGGTGGTCTGAGGCAGCGTGCCAGGTGAAGAGAGAGTAGGACTCCTCCTGCTTCTGCTTTTCCACCCTTTAATTAAGTCCTCCTGGCTGCTTTGTCCCGCCCTACCAGGGGCCACCTCCTGGGGGTTGGGCAAGCTGCCTTCTCTTCTCCTGGTAGGCAGGGACAGGGGAAGATGTAGGAGCAGAGAAAGAAATGTTTTCCAAGCCGCATCTGCAATCCTGGTAGAAGGGTGGTAGAAGTAGCCCATTTTACGGAGGAGGCCATTGAGGTTCCAAGAAACTGAACATACAGCTCATTACCAGTAGCAGGCAAGTAAGACATCCATTCTGCTTCCCTGTTCCCTCCCCTCCTCCTGTAGTTATATGCCCCAAGGGAAGCCTGATCCTTGACATTTAGAGGCTAAGAACCACAGGAGACAAGGGGATGCCTGTTAAGATCAGAAGCCTGTGGCTGTCACTATGCTACACTTGTCACTCCTGCAGGGGAGGGACTGGTTCACGGACCTGTGATTCCTTTGTAATGTGCTGGCATTGCACCAGTAGGCGCTCCGTGTGTGCCAGTTCCCTGCCCGCCCCTTCTTCAGCCCTTTGCACCGCAGGTGCACTTCCCAGCTGTCCTGGGAGCCCATCCCCGCTCAGCTCAGAACGTGGGGCTCCTTCCCCACTATCTCAGTCCCCCTCATCTCCAGCAGGGTCTGCACCCTGGGAGGCCTCCCCTGAGCCCCCAGCCCAGAAATAGACTAATGGGGGCAGGTGACATTCATACTGGTGATCATTTTTCCTTACAAGGACATGCTGCTTGGGCCACTCCTCCAGGACTGAAGCGGAGCATCCCGTGGCCTGGCTAGGGGAAGTGACATGTCATTGTCACTCAGCAACCGATTGAGACACCCGTGGTTAGAAGCTTCCTAGAGAGCTCAATGCCCTCCCCCAGCTCTGAGTCTCCCACCCCACAAGCCAGGAGCTGCCACACTGGCAGGAACCAGACACACAGGGTTGTCCAGGAGCAGGAGCCCCTCGAGCCTGTGTCCTGCAGGGCTGCCGAAGCTATCAGGTAACCGCAAAATGTGACCTTCGGAAAGGGAGCTGCTCCTCAGTCCAGCAGAGGACTGAAATTTCTTGAAAAATAAAGCCCAGTATTGCCAGATGTTCAAGTTTTTTCAAAGGTACCCACCATTCCCCTTAGCATAGAAAAACTCTAAGTTTGTAAATCCAGTTTTTAAAAAATAAACAGAGACACTCCTGTGTTGCCCCATCTTAACAGATCTGGAGGTCAAAGCCAGCACAAAGGCAGCTAATCTTTGACCTATGCAGGTGTTGATCCAGTTTGCTGCCAGCCAGCTGCCTCAGAGCTCTTCCCCTGAAGTACAGGGGCCATGGGATGGAAGTGGCAGAGCTGAACGTAAATGCTGGCTTTGTCCATCACTGTGCCACGTGACCTTGGCTGAGACACACCTCTGTCTGAGCTTGTGTGTCCCTGCCACAGCGAGGAGGACCTGGTGCCTACCTGGTAGGATGTCTGAGGACTCACTGGAGTAAAGTGCACAGTGAATTCAGCAAGTGCAGAGAAAAGCTCTTGCCCTGCTTCCTCCCTGCTGGTTTTCAGCTCTGCTAGGAGAGAGTTCCAGGCTGCTGGGACCTGCCCTTCCAGGCTCTGCCATGAGCCTGAAAGCACTCCACAGCCTAGATCCTGTCACATAGGAAGTGCCAAGGCGTCGGCATGGTCCCTGGAGACACTGCCCTAGTTCTCATGGGAACCAGGGAGCTGGCTGGTTATGAACCATGAAGGTCACTTCCAGGAGACCTCGGGTAGACTTGTAAGACTGGGAAGCACAGGGGGAAGAGGGAAATAGTGGGAGACATGGGCCGGCAAGATAGCTCAGCAGTCTAAAGCGCCTGCTTAGGCAAGTGCAAGGACCGCGGTTCCATCCCCAGTACCACATGCCCTGCCAACCCTGCCCCCAGAGTGGGCTGAACAGGCCCCCCCCAAAAAAAAAGTGGGAGACATTTTTAGTTTCTCTTGGCACATGTAGCCAGTCACCTCTGCCCATGTAAGGCTGGCCTGACCTCAAGGCCTACAGCATCCGGAAGGGATGTCTGAGTCACCCCACATAGAACCATCTGGGCTGAAGGGAATTTCTGGAGGAAGGATTCAGAGCCATAAGACAGAAGGGGAAGTGGTGAGCCCCAGGCTGGCCCCGGAGTGCAGGCTGGGACTTGGGGGCATAATCAGAGGGCCTTAGGAGAGGAGTGCTGCTGAGCTTTCAGCCTGTGGGTAGTGAATGTGGCTACTGTCCGGATGGTTGGAGATTGCAGCAGGGTGGCTAAAATCTGTACGTGCAGTCAGAGATATCTGATAGAAAACAGGGAGTGGTGTGGTGGTGGTGGTGGCGCATAATATTGTTTTCTAATAAGCATATAAAACTAAAAGCCTTTTTAAGAAAATGTTTTATTCAACATCTTCTAGCCAAAAGATTACCCTTTCCACATGGAAGCACTGTCAAGAGGCTATT